AGAGCATACATCTCCTTGAGAGATGCCACTCATTTATGATTTTTTATCAAGTTTTAAAATACGCAACATATCTTATCAATGAAATGTCTAGTCGGATACTTGTATGAAAACACCTCTTTAAATTTTGATGGTTACCTATCTTCACATCAAAGTTTTCTCTTCTAATAAACCACTTAAAATCGTTGGATGTGTATCATTTGTTTAGATTCATTCTCAAAATCGAACAAAACTTGACCCTAAATCTATCAAGTGTAATTTTATTGGGTTTGCCTCCAACAAAAAGTGGTATAAGTATTACTCTCCAGTTAATAGAAAATCTTACAACTCCAACTCCATGTATATCACATATTTTAAAATTAATCCTACTATCCCAAATCTGATGCTCGAGTACAAATGAAAATCAATTCTAAGATGTATTTGATGCCACCTACACAGTCTCACCACCTAGGCCTCCTATCCTGGTTGAGGATGTCCAATCAATCCAACCAACCTAATCTGAAGTACATAACAAAGAACTTCGTGTGAGAGAACGAATGGAAACCTTGAGCTAGTGGAAGACAACTTGCAAGGATAAAACTGCTCAAATGAAAATACAAGTCAGGATTCACCAAAAAATTTGGGTTAGGCTGAGCCTAGTACTCATGAGTTATCCCATAACTCTTCTGATGTTGGTGATAAGAAAAGTTGTATTAGATATCCAATTCAAGAGTATGTAGCTCATGGAAAGTTATTATCATCCTATAAAGCTTTTGTTTCTAAACTTGATAGTGTGTAGATTACTAAATTCAATCATGAAGCACTTATAAATCACGAATGAAAGAAAACAGTTCGGGAGGAGATTCAAGTACTAAAACATAATGGCACATGGATTCTTAATATATTCTCTAGAGTAAAGAAATCAGTTCGATGTAAATGGGTGTTCAACCTCAAAAACATTGTTGATAAAGATATTCTAAGATTCAACGTCAGACTTAATGCAAAAGATTTCACTAAAGCCTATGAGATTGACTGTCATGAGACCTTCATAATAGTTGCCATACTAAACAATATCAGAGTTCTCATTTCAATAGCAATTATAAGGAAATGGATGTTGCATCAACTTGACATTAAAAATGCATTCCTGAACGAAGATATGAAGAAAAATATATATATGGAGAAGCCAACTGGAATTGAAAATGATTCCAACAAACACCTAGTAAGCAAAGTCAAAAAGTTTCTTTATGGCTTAAGCAATCACCAAGAGCGTGAAATATAAAATATTTTATAAACTAAAGAATCTAAGTATGAATGTTGCAAACAAAATCGGAAACATATTGCCATAAAATACATCATATTATTCAGCAACGAAATGAGGCTTGGGCATTTCAATAACTAGTAGAGTTCTCAGTGATAATTTCAATAATAGATGAAGTGATTAACAGTAAATGGCTAAGAAATGTTAAAGCATCAACCACTTTCATTTGAAGATAAACTAAACCAAGATCAAAATTTTGAAAATAGATTTAAGGAATAAGAGAGCGATCTTCCATCATAGGGTCATCAGGCGTAATATCCTATGATTTAAATGAAAATTTTCTAAACTCAAGATGAGCCTCAAAAAATTCAAAGGATTCATGTCAAAAAATCTGACATGAGTAGCATGATGAAATGGTTTCAAATTTCACTTTCTACTGATATTTAGACAACGAAAATGATAACCCGATCCACAACTTATTATGAAAAAGTGCACCAGCATTCAGTATGTCAACTTTAATCACATGTGGCAAAGCAAAATGAGCTGTTGTTGTATCTACCTATAAATATTTTTCAAAGATTGAATACAATGGGAATAGTGTAGATTGGTTGAAGCAATACAAAAGACAGAGAAAATAAATCCAAATTTGAGTAACAATAGGCTCCACTGAGAAATTAAAATGTGCATTGGGAGCCCGTAAAATCGTTGTGAAAAAAGTCTTTATGCTATCTATTTCAAACAATAACTTCATAATGACATATTGAGGTTCGATCACCAAATAGTATTATGGGCGCGTTTGGGGCGGTGTTGCACCACAATTTTTTTGTTTGGCAAAACAATCTTTTGCTTATGTTTTTAAAAAGCTACAGTTGAAAGCTATACTTTGTCACCAAACCTAGCTACCTGCGGTGGATGCTAAAAAACTGCGGTCTGAGGTTTTCAAAAAAAAAATTATATTAGCCACAACAGCTTTTGAACAATAGTTTTTTTCTTCAGCAACTTCATAGTTGTTTCTTCAAACAGCTGCAAGTGCACTAAACAGGCCCTAAATCTAACATTAACTTGCCAATTAACTGCATGCAAAAATGACATAGAGAGAGCTTCCCAATAAATAAGACGTTGAGAAGGTTCTCATAAAAGCTTCATAGAAAAAAAATATGAGTGGCCTTGCTTTAAAAAAAATGAAAGCTATTTATGTTGAAAATTTTTTGAAGTGTGATAAGAGAATAATGAAGAATTGATAATTAAGGAGAAAACATTCACCAAATTTAAACCCCGATTAATGTTTGTAAATGAGCATAAAGGTTGAGGAAGAGGCTCAACCACTCATAAGAAAGTATGAATAGCGGCCATCAAAGCATTAAGGACTACTAAATTATGAGATGACAATCTTAAGAGAGAGTCAAATAAGGTCCTAGGAGAAATCATCACAAGAATTGGAATACAAAGAGGGTCTGAAAATTCAAGAGATGAAGACCCGGAGACAAATATCAACAAACGCAAGTGTGCACGAGATTGGACATGAGACAGCAAAAATAAATCATTGATGATATTGACGAGAACACCATAACATAGCTAGTCGTAGGACTAATTGAGGTTAGACAAAACACCAATACCATGAAGTAAATTGTTGATATTGATAGTCGCAATGCTAGTTATTTAAGAGTTGACCCGCCATTAATTTTGATGGCATAGTTCTTTAAACAGAAATGAAGAGTTTAAAATAAGGAGGCATCCCCTTTTATACGACCGAAGAAATAAAAGTTGAACATCCAAGAATATAGATTCTAATTTATGATGCTAAATGCAATTGAAGTCCATACCTTACTGAAAAGTCGTCTTGCTATTAATTGTAGGTTCAACAAGTTTTTTAAGCTAGAAAATTAGCGACTAGAAAAGGTGATTTGTATACAAGCATAAGCTTTGTCTATTGAGAGTTTGCGCATTTCGGGACAAATTATCAGAAAATATATTAGATTTTATAAATATAATACTACCCAAATATTCCAACCACATTTTGCAATAACTTCAAAACCTGATTTCATATTCTCATATGCAGAAGTCCCTATGCTTAGTTAGACGCCAAGTATTTAGTGTATAGTAGCAACAAATTATCTTTGATTTTAAAAAAAAATTAGTATCAATTCTATAGATAATGAAGGTAAACCCGATCATGATTTTATGATTTCATCTCAGGTTGACATAAATTCCGGTCTACACTGTATCTTATTCTCACCCTAAATCATGCTCATCCGTACCATAGATGCTTATTTTTAATGACACCATGTTCAACAACTGTAATTTCTCCTCTTTCCTTACTAAACTTGTTCAGCTAACTATTTATATTTGGTTCTATCTTTCACGGTTCTTTAAATAACCTCCAAAAATTAATTTGACTATCATTTAATGTAGTTTTCCTATGTCATCAAAATTTTATAACTTCTAACTGCAATGCATTCAATTCCTTAATCAATTTGGATACCAAAGTGATCATCCAGCATAGAATACATATACCCTTTCGACTTAACACAATAACAACATTTGTTTTTCATGGGCAATACAGCATATCTAAATAATAGGTTTTAAAAAATTCAAACAATCTTCTATATCATATTTAGCTCTTTTTTCTGTGAAAATATATTCTAAATTATGATGTACAGTGAACATTTCACACATCTGCCCATGTATATAATGTCTCCAATTTTTAAAAGAAAATCTTACAGATGTTAGTTCCAGATCAAAGGTTGGATAATTCCTTTCAGAATTTCAATTATATTGATACATAAGTAATTACTTTCTCATTTGCATTAGGACACATTATAACTATTTAATCATGCATTACTGTAAATCTAAAAATTTATTGTTCTGATAAAGTAAATAATACATTTGTAGTTGCCAAATGTCTTCCTCATTCTAGAAAATTGTTCTCATATTCTTGTACCTATTCAAATTTAACATTTTTCATAAATTTTGACAACAAGCTATTGTTAGGAACTTCATCATAGACCACCTGAACTATCCAACATAACATAAATAACCATGAATCTTGGTAATATACATTGGTGTAGGTCATTCAAATACTGCTTACAATTTTTGAGAATCTACTAAAATTCCCCCACCACTTAAGATACAAAAATGCCACATTTCTTAGCCAATTAACGTTTTAGAAAATTTGCAAAAAAAATAATTATTGCTCAACAAGGAATATAGTTTCACATTTATAGCCAGCAGAACATGGATTTTACTTTACTAGCCTTTTATGTCAACAAGGTCACATAGTTATAACAAAGCCATTTTATTTTATAGTTCCTAGCATTCCTAGGCACTACAAGGCATGATTAGAACTTGTCATTCATCAAAAGCAAGAAAACCATGCATGTAAAATATCAAAATTTTCACTATCTAATGTATCAAATTTAATCCCACGACTCCCAAAATTTGATCCAAAATAATCACTTGACTGAACTAATATGATCCAAAATAATCCAAAAAAAAATAATTTAAATCATGTTTAACAAGAAAAGACTAAATTGAACACATTTGGTAATTGGGACTAAAATTGCTTACATAAAATGTCTAGAGTCTGTTTTGATCTTTCTTTTAATATACAAGTAAATAGCAGATAAATGCCTCTAATCAGTACCAAAAAAATTTGCCAAAACAACTTGTTAAATGTGATAAGATAACATGTATTAAAGTTGATATTAACAAAAAAAGAAAAACTAACATAAATTATAATATTCTAAATAGCAAAGTTAATACATACTTGTTCGGCAAGTTTGAAATTGTGTGTTCTCATGTATTCCATCCCAATATATAATGTTGGCAGATGACACCTAAAACCAAATAACAAAATAAATCATTACAAATGGTGTTAGAAATCTGCATGTAGTTTTCAACCATTCTAAGAATGATTAAATCCATAATGTAAAATTTTGCACTGCTTCCTTTTATTCTATATTAATTCTTCTTTTCTTAGATGTTTCAAAACCTAAATCTCATAAATTAATAAGAGAATTATATTTTTCACATGATAATAAAGTGGGTTTGCATTCCTTCTTTTAAGGAACCCTAGAAGAATCAACTACTCTCTAATCTTCTTCAAAACTATCAATTAAGCGTTGCTTATTCTTAAGAAGCCATTCTGAACCTTATTGACAATCTTCAACACACTATATGTAGAACCCTAAATATTTTCTAGAGCCCAATGGCTCTTGTTATCAACATTATATTTTCAACTTTAATTCATTTCTTCTTTCCTTAGTTGAAATGTCAAAATTTTAACTTGCCACTTAATCGAGAGAGTGAATGAAAAGATGACCAAACTAGATTGCACTAAAACAATATGATAATTCCACATGGACAAAAAACTTAAACAAACAATACTTTTACCAACTTGTTAAAACCGAGAAATTATAAGATGTTAAATGGATTTAATATCAAGCTGATGGATCCAGCTTTTTACTTTTTCTTTTTCTTTTTCCTTTTTCCTTTTTTTTTCTTTTGGGCAAAAGAATATGATGAAACTTCTGCATTATTTATCAAGAGACAATAGCCTCTGTAAGAAAAAAGAATAATGTATGCCTCATGTTATATTGGCTTCATGTGTTAACTAAGTGATACAAGAGTTAACTCAACCCACGACGAAGACATACAAATATTATTAAGCAAATAACAAAGGATACAATCGAGATTCGAACCAATAAAGAAAGCAAGATAATGATGACATGACTAGCAAGATCCAGCTAAGACCTAAGGAGAGTATTTCTCGACTTCGTCGATGAGTGGAGGTGCAGGGTGACTATAGGCGGATGGAAGAGCTGGTGTAGGTGTTTGTTGGAAGGTGTTGGGCATAGGAGTTGTTGTGGCGATGAGGCAACAAGTGCGGGTGGCTGCCTGAGACCCTAAGAGGAGCTACAGATGTGGGTGAACTACCATAAAAGAGGTCGGAGGAGGCAGCAAGTGCAAATGGCTGCCCGGATGGTCGAAAGGGGACTAACGGCCGGCTAGAGGTGCCAGGAGGGGTCGACAACCAGTATGAGGAGCTGGCGGCGAAAGGCAGCAGTCCAACAGACACTGGAAATGGACAACGGTTCACTGGAAGCTGTTGGAGAACTCGACATTCGTCATAAAGGTAGTCACAATCAGCTCGCGAGAATGGGGGGGTGGGGGGGTGACGGCTGACCAAAGGTGCGAAAAGTAGTTGGCGGCTATCTAGAAGTGTTGGATGGTGCATGTAGTCATGCAGACGTGCAGGTGAGTGGCTGCAACAATTTGGAAGCTGTAGGGATGAGACACCGATGCTCTGGAAGTGGTTGAAATGAAACAGTGGCCAATTGGAGATGCAATAGGTGATCGGCAATAACTTGGCGGCGTTGAAATGATTCTGCGGTAATACGGAAGGTCGGAGGGGATGCAAGTCGGCTGAGCAGTGCTGGTGGCATTCGATTGTAACCTGAACGGTTGGAAGGGATTGTTAGCAGCAAGGAAGCAGTCAAATAGCAGAGATAGACAACATCTCGGATGACTTAAAGTCGAAGCACCTTCTCGTCGTTGGATACAACCCTCCGAAGGGAAAACATCACCAGCGGACTCTAAATTCAAGAAACAAATCAACAACCTATAACCTAAGAAAACACCACCTATAAATAATAGAGATTAGGAAGTAGAACATATTATAAGGATAAGAATAAAAAAGAAAATAGAAAAAAAAGGCATGGAATAGGCAATAAATAGAAAAGGAGAGTAATGGAATAGGAAGGGGAATAGGAGGGAAACGGGTAAGGAAAGGGAAAAATGTGGGCGGCAGGTCCTGCTCCTTTTAAGGGCGGGGAAGGGACCGGGCAAAGCTCGGTTCAGTAGGGGCTCTTTCCCAGCCCTGCATCAGTCTCTCGAGGTTGGAAGAGCTTTGACCTCAAATTTCAAAACTTCTGAGTCCTTGAAGTACCGTGTCAAGTTCGCAGCATTGAATGTTGCTAAAACGTTACAGTCCCCTAACAGGTCAATCTTATATGCGTTGTCATTCAACCTCCAAAGTATTTTGAAAAGACGATCTGCTTGGGGCTTAAGCTTCCCAAATGTTCCCACCTTTATTTCTTCATTTGAATCCATATGAGGACCCCTTCTTGGAATGTCACCTTCTTCCTCAACTTATTTGCTTCTGCCTAATATTTGCGATTTTGCTTGGCGACCTCCTTGCCAACCTCCTTGTGGAGTTTCTGAATCTCGTGAACCCACTCTATAGCATATTCACAAACCTCTGATGTAGGCAAGAGTGGTACCAACTCAAGTGTTGTAAGAGGATTGTGCCCGTATACAATCTTGAACGGTGTACATCTCGTATTCTTACTCACGAATCTGTTGTAGGCCAACTAGGATGAGATCTTACAGCTTGATAATCTTTCCCACGAAACATCTCAGAAGGTTTCCTATGCTCCTGTTCACAACCTCTATCTAGCCGTCCATTTGTAGATGAGCTGAATTGAATTGGAGCTTGGTGACTGGCTTCCCCCACAATGTCCTCCATAAGTGACTTAGAAGTTTAACAACTTGTTGACCTCACTTTTGGTTGAGGTCTAGAAATTTCTTTAGTAGCCTAGGTCTAGCCATAGGACTTTCCTACTGACTAATCGTAGAAAACTAGAAAATGTACCCTCACCATTAAAAACTCAAAACTCTTCTCTTTACTCAACTTGAAGTTCCACATATTGGTCCTAACCTCTAGCACTTAGTAGGTAAGATCATTATGAGAGAACTCAAGGAGAGTTCCTATAAAGCTACTTGACCTTCGGATTGACCCTGGGTGTTGGTTTGGAGCTAAGGTATACAATACCCTCACAATACCCTCACAATACCCTCACCATACCCTGGCTAAGACCAATACATAAGGACCCAAAATGGGGATTTCATTGATCCATGGTTCATTTAGAATGATTCTCTACCCAATTGCACTTGAAATGCCCAACTTAGCCTTTTGCCCCTACGCACCTCCAAATTACCTAACTGTCCTTGAGATCCAAATTTGGCCAAAATTCCCAAATTTTGTCAAAATACACAAAACTGATCAAAACTCATTCCAAACACTTTGAATACATCCAAATTTGCCAAAACTGACAAAAATTTCCAAAAATGACCAAATTACCAAAATGCCCCTCCATGGCCTAAAAATCCAAAAATTTCCAAAAAATCCCAATAAATCCAAAATATTCCCAATTTCATTTTGTCCAACTACACCATGGTCCAATTTGGTCAATTTGACCATCTTTGACCAAAACCCCCAATTTGGTCCTTAAAGGCTTAATTTCAAAACCCTTTTTAACCCAAAATCAATCAAATTAGTTCCAATTGACCCCAAATTTGATTCTAAACTTAAATTAACATTTTATTTGCTTAAACTATTACAAATTTAAGCTCAATTGATCCCTGAATTAAGCCTAATTTTGATTTAGGTCAAAATCCCAATTTTGGTTAAATGACCAAATCACATCAATTGGACTTATAACCATGTCAATTGGCCCCAAAAAATGTTGTATTTGCTTCATAGCAATATTTTACATCAAATTTGACCATAAATTTGCATTGGTAAAACCTTTTGATCATCCAATTTGATTTAAATCCAAAACCCCAAATTAGCTCTAATATTGGCTAACATCCCAAATCTCAACAATTGAATGTCATAAACCTAAAATAGACATCCAATTTTTGTTGAAAATCCTTCGTGAGGTCATTTGTGACCAAACACAACAATCAATTTGAGCTTAGTCCAAAGCTAGCTCAAGTTTGACCCAAATTAGCCCTATATGCCTAATTTGGGTCTAAATCCAAATTTCATCAAAATCCACCAAATTCACTACCAAATTGATTTCAAAATGACTTTCATCCTTCATGAAAGTTGTTCATCATGATGTTTTACACCAAACACAACAATCAATTC